CCTGCATATGGTTTATATTGGCTTTACGACATTTAGGTTTTTATTGTTTATTTATTGCGCGCGGTAGTTGATGGTAGACAACCAATGGACGCGCGGATAATTTATTTTCTAGACTTCAGCTTCTTAATTGTTTTGTTTTTATTGTCTCGACTCGACAACGTCGTGGAGTCGAGACTTGGTCGTGCTGTTTCCGAGGGATTTGTTAAAGTTTGTGATGAGGTCAGTTTAAACAGTAATTCAGTGATGTTTGGAGTGTAGTTGTATTTATAACAATTAAAGTTAATATTCAAATTGGCACATCTCATTTCGAGGAAAATTGGTCGCGCCCCCGCAGTCATTTTTTTTTACCTCGAAAGTTTTCCATAGATTACAGTTTAGGTTATGGGCAGTGTAAGGGGAACCACCAAAAGTATGACAATGATAAATGGTATACTTGTATGCAGTTGTATAAACATTGGCACATCTCATTTCCATGGAGATTATTTGGCTCCTCCCTTCAGTCATAGTCTTTTGGCTTTGAAATTTTTCCATAGTTTACACGATAAAGTTCGTGATTATATAAGAGCATTTGACTGTTACTTTGTGATCTAGTACCTAATATGTTTGGTTTTTGGACAATGACGGTTCAATATTTTTGTCTCCTAAAAATATGCATGTGATATTTGCCACTGGACATTAAAAAATTGATCGATCCATCCCTTGTCCGTAGTAGAAATGTATTCATGAATAGTTCAATTAGTATATATAATTAAATGGAGATCAGAGGTAAATGGCAAAAAGTCTTCTCAAAAGCACATGAACCTGAAAAACATTGGCACTGGCTACGATTACCCGCAAAAAAGTAGCAATAAGAAATAATTATTGTTACTTCCGATACTAAGTGTCGAGTTTGTTTCCAGACAGGAACCTGATTTCATACGGAAATTTCAGGTAACAATCATGAATATTAATCATTTGTTATTGTGACCAGCAGTTATTGTTGCGTAAATGTATCCTTTCAAATTGTTAATGATAAACTTAAAAAGTTCCAACATGCAAATTTTGTGCAGTTATATAGAAGTTCTTGTAAGATATGAGAACCGTCCTAAGCAAAAAATAATAATAAACCAGAAATAAAGATATAATTCATTCTGAATTGTAATATGCCTACTAGTCATTTTGGGACCCTTTATAGCTTGCTGTTCGGTGTGAGCCATCGCTCCGTGTTGAAGGCCGTACTTTGACCTTTATACATTGTGACTTGGATGGAGAGTTGTCTCATTGGCACTCATACCACATATTCTTATTTATATATGCATTCATTGTGGCAGAAATTACAAGTGCACCTCGTCGCCGTAGAGTTCGTGATCAATCTGTGTGAGTTTTTCCCAAAAAACAACAGTTGGCAAGATTAGTACACATAAAGCATGTGTGTCTAAACAACGGAAACGTCAAAAAATAGATAAAATAATGTATATTGGACAATGACACGAAGACAGACGGTACATTTAATTATCCCGTTGCTACACACAAAAAAAAGACATAATTTGGCGCTTGTAAAATTTTGCAGGTAACATTTTTTTTATTGTCATCTGCAATTTCCGTATGAAATCATGTTCCTGCATGTCTGGAAATAAATTTCGGCAATTAGTCTCGGAAGTAACAAAAATCATTTCTTATTGTTACTTATTGCGGATAATCGTAGCCAATGCCAAATACATTTTGGTGAAAACATATGGGCTTTAACCAAATCATGTTCTCATTTGCCCCAAGCACAAGTTCTTACAGGTTTTTAATTGAATTAGTAGAAAGTATCAAAGATTTTCCATCAACACCCAAAAGACAAAAATACAGTAATAAAGATGTAGACACTTCCTAGTCAAATTAATAACTGGGAGCAGGCACATTCATTAGTTTTGGGTTTTAACTAGTTTGTTGAGTTCTGAAGATTAACTACTGAATGCTTTTCGTTTGTCTTCCACAATTTTTCGTTATTTATACTTTTTTTACATCAAACCTCAATATCTAATTAAAGTTCACCTGGCCCGAAGGTCCAAGTGAGCTTTTCTCATCACTTGGCGTCCGTCGTCGTTAACTTTTACAAAAATGTTTTCCTCTGAAATTACTAGGCCAAAATTTATCCAAACTTGGCCACAAACTTCATTGGGGCATCTAGTTTAAAAAATGTGTCCGATGGCCGACATGGCTGAAAATAGAACACAGGGGTAAAATGCAAGTTTTGTCTATTATTTTGAAAACCGCTATAAATAAAGAAAATCTGACGAGGGCAAACATGTTCAGAATGTTGAGCTCTACCGAATGTTCACATAGGTCAAACTATCAGACGACTTCTTATAGGAGTTTTTGCCCTTAAACAAGGACGTATATTAGATGTTAGTTATACGTCCTTGCCTTAAATGACAAATTTTTACACTTTTTTTTTTCATTTTGGCCTATTATCTTGAAAACTATAATAGATAGGGAGAAACTTTAAATTGCAAAAATGATCAGCAAAACAAGTTCTATAAACAAGTCTCATGGTCGAAATCGTAAGTCGACTCCTTATTAGAGTTATTGCCCTTTGATGCATTTTCCCACATTATCTTGCCTTGTATCTTAACAATTATGATCGACAGAAATTTAAATAAGCAAAACTTATCAGCAAGACAAGATCTTCAATTTAGACGATAAAGAGGAAGTCGTCAGATGACTCCTTTTTTGAGTTATTGCCCTTTAGTGACGATTGTAACCAATTTTGTGTTTTGCCTTGTATGATAAAAGTTATAAGTAGATAGACACTTTAAATCACAAAGATGATAAGCAAGGCAAGATCTACTAAGAAGTCAAATTTTGCCAATACAGTTAGAAGACTGTCACTCTTTATAGGACTGATTGCCCTTAAATGAGGATTTTTTTTCACCCTCTTTTGTGTTATGAGCAAAAACTAAAGAAGACAGGGAGAAACTAAACAGACTGTTACTTTAATTATTCTTCCCTTAGTTTATTTATTTTGTATTTACATTGTATCATAGATCAAATTTATTTGTTCAGTGTATGTTCACTGGTGTTAATATGTCTTTTGATTGAGTTAAGCCATTTCAATTGATATTTTATAGTGTGTCTTTCTATGTTGTGATGTTACACTATTGTTTCAGATAAGGGTGAAGGTTTGGTACCATTAAAACATTTAAAACTGCTGCAATTGTTTGCACCTGTCCTAAGTCAGGAATCTGATGTTCAATAGTTGTCACTTGTTGATGTGGTTCATAAGTGTTTCTCGTTTCTCGTTTTTTATATAGATTAGACCGTTGGTTTTCCTGTTTGAATGGTTTTACACTAGTAATTTTTGGGGCCCTTTATAGCTTGCGGTTCGGTGTGAGCCAAGGCTCTGTATTGAAGACCGTACTTTGACCCATAATGGTTTACTTTTATAAATTTTGACTTGGATGGAGAGTTGTCTCATTGGCACTCATACCACATCTTCTTATATCTATATATGATCACCAATCCAAGATCAACAAAACAGAGATTTTTGTCATGAATTCTATTCTCGTCTACAACTTTGGAGAGTGTCCTTTGTTGAATATGCACATAGACCAAGGTGAGCAACACAGGCTCTTTATATAATTAGAGCCTCTAGTTTTTTTTTAGCAAAAGTAGATTCATTAGTGTCTATGAAACCATTTTGGCAATCTAGTATGATGCCATTGCAAGATTTTCTGATATAGTTCATAATCTTTTTATAAGTAGTGATTGCTACAAAAAGAAAGTTTTTATTTTAAAAGTTTGTCATTTACATTCTGGCTGTACTAAAATGACAATTTGGCATTTCAAGTTAAATCAGGACTCCATTGATACCGTTCAAAGCTAAATTCATAAAAAACCTGAGCAGTCTCATTGTAGTGTGTTCACTTGGAGTGAAGGAGGTTGTGGGTTCCAACCATGGCCAGGTAAAACCCAAAAAATAAAATTGGTATTTGCAGCATCTTAGCTAAGCATGCAGTATTAAGGAGTAAGAGCAAAGTCGGGTCAGCTCAGAGTCAAAATAATTTGGCCGGATATGGTAACATATTTTCCTCTGGAACTGTTAGCTTGAGAACTAGCATGTTATAATCAGGATCAGTGAGTTGGTCTAGTACAAAGTAGGGTAAATTTTCATATTAAATTAATATGTTCTCGTCCTGATTATGCATTTACTTTGTTGCTGGACATTAAGCAGCCACTAATCATCATCATCCTTTTAATCAAGGATCCTACTTATTACTAGTATTGCTGCAAATATCACTCATTTATCATAAAACAAACATTTATTATTCTGTGTCCCTGTGTGTTTCTTGTGTACTATGTCTTTGATGTGTGCATGTTGTGTTGTGTCACTATGTCTGTGAAAAATACATCAGGTTCATGTGTCCTTATATAAAGTGAGTCTGTCTCTTCATGTTGTGTAATTTAAACATATAGGCACTTTTAACAGACTCATGAGAGGACACCATTCACATAGTAGGCTGTCATACTTTAGAAAAGGTAATTAACATGCTTAAGGCTTTAACACAAGTCTGTCTGCTATCCCAGTGCTGGGTTGCGTTCAATATCGTAGCGGCCTCATAGGGCTACGTAGATTTATGACTATTGAACGTGTAGCTACATAGATATTGATAGCAGCTAGGCTAGCTACTCATTCAGTAGGCAAAAATCTAGGTAGCACTATGTAGCTGCTACAATATTGAACGCAACCCAGTTAACTTTTGTCAAATCTCACAAAATCTGTAAGCAATATTCCTGAACTGGTAGTTTAATTTTCTTACCGTTCTGTGGTTATATTTTCATTGAAATGGTTAGAATCTTTAGCACTTATTCGTAATATGCAGTTTGTCAGATTGGCTTGCTGATTTTATTTTTCTACTTACTTTGGCACATATGTGCTAAGTTTTCAAATGTTTAAGCTTTTGCTTCTGTGCATATTTTGACAGCTAAATATGTATTCCACCGTAGCCTATTTTCTAAGGCAAATTCACAAAATATACTAAAACATATCTTTTAATATCATAATATTCCAATTTTACATTTAGAATTGTTTATGTGAGGAATAAGATAGTCTTTCATTAGATTCAACAGATCTCCTTTCACGTCGGGAATGTCTATAATTCTCTTAGACTTGACATCTCTCCAATTAAAGTCCAATACGACCGCCTTTATTACATCGGGATGTAGTGCTTCTGAAAAATACAATCAAATTTTTAAAGTTTTGCTCCACATTGGAAAAAGGTATTAGTTGATATGGATGGATAATCTTTGATACTTTGTTATGTGTACTAGAAAATAAAGCAGTTTTCTAGTAATTGTCTATTCAGGCCCTGTTCATAAAAATGGATATAATTTCAAATTGACATTTGAGACCCATTTGAAAAGTGTTGTGTTCTGTGTATACTTAAATAACAATAATTAAAAGCCCATTGATGAAAAGCTAGATTTCTATTTTCAGTCTTAATTATCATGATTATGTTTAATATTGTGCTATGACAGATGTTCATCTCTTTGATTTATAGGAAAGGACCAATAGTGTCCATCACATATTGACTACAATTTATAAGTGTGGACCTGTGTAATGTTCATTTATTACATTGGTTGCAATGAATTACTGTGATTTCCCAGCGAAATAAAAACCAATAATTGCACTCCCCAACAACTCATACAACAATAGGTGTTGACAAGACGTTGTCAATGACGTCGCATCAAACCAAATTGTTAATACGTAGAAAAAGATATAGTTCCTTATATTTCTTACTTTAATTCCATTAAAAAGCCCATTGTCAATGTAATAAAAAGAACAAGTAGTCAAAGAATTCAAATATCTTAAAATATTCAACTCGTGACAGAACAACACTGATAATTAACTCATGCACTACCCGCATTCCTGAATTAATGTGTTGTTTGGTCACTCATTGAATATTTTTTTTATATTTGAATTCTTCCATTCGTTATTCTTTAATTCTTTCATCTCAAAAACTCAAAACTTCAAGGCTTATCTCTCCTATGAGAGATACTAGCAGAGAGAAGGAAAAAAAATAATCTTAAGCTTGAAAGATTCTGTATTTAAAATGCAAAATAGGAATTTCTTTTAAACATGCACATTTGTTTCTTTATGTTCTTTTCATATATGTTATGATGGTATGATACTAAACCCCTAAAGGGAAGGATTGTGCCTGATATTCATATGATGAAGACATAATCTTTCAATCAGTTTAATTGAAGTCTGGAGCTGGCATGTCAGTTAACTGCTAGTAGTCTGTTGTTATTTATGTATTATTGTCATTTTGTTTATTTTCTTTGGTTACATCTTCTGACATCAGACTCGGACTTCTCTTGAATTGAATTTTAATGTGCGTATTGTTATGCGTTTACTTTTCTACATTGGCTAGAGGTATAGGGGGAGGGTTGAGATCTCATAAACATGTTTAACCCCGCAGCATTTTTGCGCCTGTCCCAAGTCAGGAGCCTCTAGCCTTTGTCAGTCTTGTATTATTTTTAATTTTAGTTTCTTGTGTACAATTTGGAGTTTAGTATGGCGTTCATTATCACTGAACTAGTATATATATTTGTTTAGGGGCCAGCTGAAGGACGCCTCCGGGTGCGGGAATTTCTTGCTGCATTGAAGACCTGTTGGTGACCTTCTGCTGTTGTCTGTTCTATGGTTGGGTTGTTGTCTCTTTGACATATTCCCCATTTCCATTCTCAATTTTACATTTGTTTCTTTGTCTTTTCATTTGAATAGGAACTGATTAGAAGAGAATAAGTTTGAACATTTCTGGGGAGATGAAAAAAGAAGACAGATTTTGGCTATACCTGTATAAGAATGGGACACAGACGCTTAACATTTAGCCATTAGTCCATTACAATAACTTTACTGTCAACATAAAAGGGAAATAACTCACTTAATTTCAACAAAGCTAAGATTCTGTTTGGTGTTCCAATGCCTAAATGACAAACTCTTTTCTCCAGGAACTTCTGCTGTTCTTCTAACTAAAAAAAAGTAAAAAATCTATTCTACATTATTTAACAGTGAAAACTACTATGTATTCATCTTTTTAATTCATTTATTTTTGTCTTGTGACACATCAAATGGTGAATATATTGCAGAGATATTACTGAGTTGCTTCCCCTCAAACTGCTCACTTTGCTGATTATATTGTATCCTGTATTAAAGTTTTGACAAATGTTCAAATACTGTTAGCCAATCCCAATCTCATAAAAATAAAAAGTCAATTATCGGCAAATAATTGGAGGTGTATAACTGATTGTAATTCTTATATTTCTTTTGTATTACATGTATGTTATGAAATACAACTTCATATTGAAAAAGAAAGATCAGGTTTTAATCCTTTCTCATTTATATATATATATATATATATATAAGTATACTACTTGTATGAGATTGTTCTTTAAGGATAACAAAAACAACAAAATATAACCAAAACAAAAAATCTTATTACCTAGTGCACTTTAACTCAATTTCAAGTTACTGAAGACATAAATTGATTAATAGAAGATTGGTCAGTTGATGAAGAAAGTTAAACAAATATCTGACTATTTCAAAAAGTACATGGAATATTCATAGGCCATGGCTGAAATCATCTTGAATATGCATGCAATATATGTATCTGCCATTAGACATTAAATGCCCATCAATTGATCATTCTACTCAGTGATAAAATTATCAAAAGAATTAATTCTGGTTTTGTTGTCATACCTTAAAATGTTTGGCAAATAATTTGGCACATTTACAACTTTCTGTTTTGAAATCTTTCAATTCTCTGAAATAAACAAAAGGTTTAACATTAACATTGAATTAAATAAGTAAACAAGAAGTCTGTGGTTTTTCAGGAAACTCAAAGTCTTTGGTCTTTGCTAAAGAGAAAATTTATGAAGAGCAATAGAACAAAACAATTATTGGAAATAAATGGAGGTGTATAATTGAGTTTTTAAATTAATTTTACTCATTTAAATATAATTATATTTGTTATATATTTAAAAAAAAAATCAAAAGTGAAATAGAAAAGTTTGTATTCTTTCTCCTTCTGACATTCATATTTGCATTCATAAATACTCATAACAGTCAACAGATTAAGATAAAAAAGGAGAAGGTTGAGTTAAAAAAAAGCTTATCCCACTTTATATTAACCATGACAGGAACACTCTTCTGTGATTGTCTTGTGTCATTACTTTTTTGGTGGTTATTTTAAAAATTTGTTAGTTTCTGTTAAAATTTATTTTAAACTTTTTAAGACATGGGATTATTAATGTACTGACATTGTCGATTGTTGAAGACTATATATTGACCTCTAGATGTCTTTTGATTATTTGTGTTGTTCAATGTTTGGTTGCTATCACATTGACCTATGCCCTAAATATTATTTTAAACATATATGTATGTACACATTCTATACCTATAAAATATACTTTTCAATTCAAATAACTTTAATATAATCAACTAGGTCAGTGCGATTACATATGTATACACTTGGTCTTTTTAATTCTATTTAGTGTACACCCTTTTTAAAACTGAAGAAGATCAAAAAAGGAGGGACAGACAAATTTATGAAATGTCAACAGTTTGAATAGAAGAGATCACTCTCAATGTTTTGATCTTTTAAACTCATTGAAATGATTTTTAAATGCAAAGATGAATAGAGCTGAACACAGTCTGGAATTTGAAGAAAATATCTGCAGACTTCCATCTTCTAAATATTTGACTTATAATTAGCCCGAATTTAATTCTTTTTTTAAATTTATATATCATATATATCTTTTAGGCATCTTTTCATGATAATTTTACTGCCAAACTTCATTTTTACTTGCCTTGGCTCATATTTAATCTCAAAACAGAGCTATCTCTGCATTTACCAGCACCAGAACAAAATATGCATATCCTTTATAATATTTTACCTGTTTAATTCTACTGCTCTGATTGCTGAGGAACATAGAACAAGAACCAGAGGAGATCCTGGCTTTAGTTCTGTCTTCAAAAGTTTATTCCACTTTGGTAATATTGACCTAAAATATGATGTTGGTGTGTGGTCTTCCTCACTACTACCATAGAAATCATGACCTAAAAAGAAAAGATATTGACTATCAACAGGATATGACACTTAAGCAAACAAAATATTATTATTAATATAAAAATAAGAAGATGTGGTATGATTGTCTATGAGGCAACTATCCACCAAAATTCAAATGAAGTGGATGTAAGCAATTATAGACAACCGGCCTTCAACAATGAGAAAAACCCATACTGTAAGTTTTGTTGCCATAAGAATTATAAGGTCAAAAGGTCTAATAATATTGAAGAAATTGTCAGTAAAATGTTAGGGTCGAAGCTTAAAGTTTGTGTATGAAAGAAAACCGTAAACACATACCAGTATTTTCACTAAATAACTTACTACAAAGATTTATCTATTAACCCATACAAAACTCAAAAGAGGGGAGAAATAGTTCTTTTCAAGGAAGTCAAAGTCACTACCAAGGGAGAAGAGATTGTATTATCCTAATCTGACTTTTATAATTTATGGTTTATATTTTAATGAAAGTTAATGGATATTTACAATGAAAATATGAAAAAATGTCCTAAAAGTTTTTTCATGCTTCAGAGATTTTTCGTAAAGTTCTATGCCAAGGAATTTACTCGTTTATAAAGCTGCCAAATTAGAACTCATATTATAATGCAATTCGTTTGTCATGATAATTTTCATTGGATGTTGACAAATATATTGACGGGTCACATTCTACCAGTCCGTAACTAAGAAAGCCTTAAGAACTTAACTAAGAATTTTGAATTCCAATTTTTTTTGGTTTACAATTTCTCAAAAAATAAACAAGAAAGTCAAATTTTGAGCCTCAAAAATCTTCTTTTTGTCAACATTGAAATCATTCAGAAGCATACAAAAAGTATAAGTACATCTAGTGTTTATGCTTGACATCCGTAGTATACATATGACGTCACATTGTTTAGATGTTAAAGACGATGCAACAGTTTCACAGACTTTTTCATTTATGGCACTTTTAAGCCAAAATATTTATTAAATGGAATTAATTTCGATATGTGGCATTAGAATGGAGATAACTATATTGTATTTTAAGCTTGGCCTTCATAAAACTTGATTTAACTTTCGCAAATATCCGTTTACCTAGCTCCGCTATGTGTCTCTAGGTAACCTCAATTTGCGACAGTAAAATCGACGTTTTACGAAGGCCAAGCTTAAAATGCAATACAGTTATCTCCTAAATAACGTAAGAAGTTGCCTTGATCATTCTAATTTACATGTACTTCAGCAGTTTTGGTTTTGACAGCTAACGAAACTGATTTAAAAAAAAAGCTTCTGTAGGAATCTAAGAAAATATGCTCACTTGCAAGAACACATTATTTACATTTGACTTTTTTGGGGGCATCGAGTCCATAAGATTGGGGAAGGTTGTACAATTTTGCATGAATTGAATAGAAAAATTTCAGGTGAATTCTGTATAAATTTTTTAATAATTTCTATGGGGACTGGGCCCATATTCAGCCCCTAATGGTGTTACAGATTAATTCCTGGCTTCATCTGAAACACTAATAAAAGTGAATGATTACCAGTATCAAGTTTCATCTCATCCTGTTCTACGGCTGATAGTTTCCCATCAAAATGTTTCTCGATGACCTGTACCAGCTGTTCAGCAGAGCCTCGTTTGGAACTTCCTTCTTTTAATTCTTCTGTAATTCTCTGTAATATAATATCAAATCAAACATTTTAACAAGGATGAATTTGTTAATTGAAATATTTGTTTTTGGCTATACTGGAATCAAATCTATTTGTACAATATAGAAAACATAATGGATAAATTTTATAGGACATTAGCAGGAATCAGCTTAAAACCAAATAGAACCATCTTTCATATAATGTTTGATATGCATATTAAGTTGAAACATGCATAATTGTAAATCTTTTTCAATATTTTCAATATCTAAAGTTTAGAATTTTTACAAATTCCAAGGTTTAACTAGGATTTTTGCAAGTTTCAACATGTTCAAGGACATTTCCAGACTTGGGATGGCTGAATTAAAATTCCAGGCTTTATCTAATTTTCAATGTAAGGTAGGAACCCTGCATACATACATTTTGCCACCATTTTTATGTCAAAATCATTTGTATGAAGCCTAAAGGGTATATTAATTCCAATGTGAGACAAAAATGAAAATACCCATCCTTAATCAACTTGATTTTCTTTTCTTTTCAACCATGAGGAATGCTACTGCAATAAGCTGCCTTTCAGTGAATCATTAAAGTACTTTTTCTTCTGCAAACTTTTTGCAGTGGTGATTTTCAGTGATCTTCACTACTTGGAGCACTCCTCTGAGGTCAATTCTTTTTTTATATTGCTCCTTAAAGATGTTCTCAATATCAAATTGTATTTATAAAATAAAACCCAATGTACATGTATTCTATACCCTAACCTTTCTTTTCTTTTTCTTCTTTTTCTTTGGAGGATCCTCATCTTTATCTGTTTCAGTAGTAGTGATCTTTCTTTTGTTTTGTTTGCTGTCTGCTTTCTCAATCTCTACATCTTCATCATTGGATTCTGAACCTGAATCTAATTATAATTTTGTTCTAATGATAAACATTTGAAAAAAAATCGTCATTATCTATGAAACATGACAGCTGTCTTACATGTACATGTATGTGGTATTATCATAACTTTATGATACATGTATTGTTCATTACATGACATGGTTTTGACATTACTTTATGATGTTTTGATATTTCTCAATATTCAGATATTGTATCATCATTTTGATATTACTTGATGTAATTAAACAATGACTTGACAGGGCCTAATCTAGGATTTTGGAGAGGGAGAAGTGACTTCTCCTTCCATGAGAGAGAAGGGAGAAGTGGTCAATTTCTTGGAGAAGTGAGATTCCATTACCGTTTCGGTTGCATAGTGTTCTCGTGCTTATCACCAATGAAATTGTTTTATATGCAATAAAAAATATACTTGCAGTTTTTTCATGTTATTGTACAAAAGGTATATATAGAAAGTTCTTAATAAAAAAGGTTTAGACAATATAGTTGTTATTTATTCATTGATACCATTTGTACTGTCAACTTCAATTTAAGTTTAAATAAAATGTGTTGCTTGGGACATGAGGGAGTAGCCTAGTAATATTATGATGCATTAAATTCATGTGCATCTGCCTAAATTTATTTTTAAATGTCCAGAAAAATATGACTCCCAGTTTACCTGATGAATTTCACATGACTGGGAATTTAATTTATATCACCACTTGTCATTATTTTGTAAAACATTATTGAATGTCCAGGACATCATGTTACATGTAGTTGTAAATTGAGATTCTCGTTAAAGATTGTAAGCCTATAAATGAAAATATCTGTCAATCATGTATAAATTAAATGATAAAGAGCTAATTTCTATCATTTTTTAAAGATATCTTCCCTATCTGCTGTCAACAAAATGGTCGTGAAAAAAAATCCACTGCTGATCACAGCTGGTCAAGTGTCGTACGTTTGCCACATTATCCATCAGCTGTCTTTCTACCTTTTATATTTCAATTTTTATTCAATGAATATAATAAATCTACCGTTAATTCCCACCCTTAATCTACCGAATAGTACAATTTGATCGACTCGTAATAAATAAAAATAAAACAAATCAGCTGAGTGATTACGCAACATCCTCAGATAAAAATCATTGTAAAATGATAACTTTAACAGACGGTCAGTTTTCCATTTGAATAATTTTGAATGTTATATCCGAGGATGTTCAAAGTCGCCGTTGTATTTATTTAATTTGATCGTCGACAGTATAAGTTCTGGGTCGTTTCGAAAATCTCGATTTTCCTTGTCAGTCGCCATTTTTTTTGGCCTGGGAGACTTGTAATTCACAAGTTGTCTCCCTTTTATCGATTTTCATAGCGATTTGACTTCGCCATGAAGTCAGTTGGCTGGCGAGATTTAGCAATTTTCAAAATTCTTTGGCGACTTAAATCGTCATTTTGCCGGCAAGATTATGGCCTGACTTGATATCTTTTATCATATCTTAATATGATTTCAACATTATTTATATTATTTATTGTGTTTGTGTCATTAAGCAATGTTGTTTTAACATTACGTGATTGTGTGATGCTTAATGTAGTAATTTCATTACATGCCATGGTTTTGATAATTCTGTAGTACTTGCTGATTCATCAATTTGTATTACATACTCAATATGGCTTAGTCACTTTTCAAAATTGTATAGTCATTACTTGATGTAATTTTAGCATTATTTCTGTGTGGATTTCTGTTTTTATATAAGAGTTTAACATGTTTGACATGACAGTTTTTGATGTGGTTTTGCTATTCTACGATGATTTCAATATTACATTAATTGAGGAGGTTGAACCACATGACCATTTGGTATTGATTTTGTCTCATTTTTTTTTAAATGTTCCTTAGCTAAACATGATAAAAAGAAAAAAAATAACATCATAAGTAGTTAAACAATTTATTCTAAAACTTTATTTTTTATCCTATATTTTCAAGATTTTGATGATTTTTGAAGAATAAAACAAATATTTGTGCAAATAAAACAAAAGTTACATGTATTACCACAAGCATTTTTTTTTTCATATAAGTTGGTCCCAGTCATCCAGTTGTCTCATTCTTACATCAAATAATCCGCTGACTGACCTGTCTTATAGTCATGATACATGTAGTAGTCTCAGCTATTTTCAAGTATCTTTTTTTACTTTAAATTGAAATGTTGTAATATGGGGATGAAGTCCACAATTACAGTAAGAAAATCAATAAAATGAAAAGAAAAAAAAATCATTCTACGAACATGACTAACATGACTAATGAACTCAAAATCGTTATTTTTTTTTTTTTACTTTTTCAATTTCCTGCATTTGCACAGAAATTGCTTTCTTTCTTCCAGTCTCATTTAATTTGTCACTGGACTTGGACATATTGGAGTGAGTAAAATATGCTTGAATTCCAAAAATATTTTATACTGACATCATCCCCTTCCACAGGTATTACCTGCCTCACCGCTCTTATTAGTCCAAATAATTATGACGGGAAGCAGGACAAATCGCCCCACTGGCAAATCGCCCCACACCAAATCGCCCCACTTTTTCACCAACTCGCCCCACTTTAAAAAAAACCGCCCCAAACTGGTTAACCAACTCGCCCCACTTGTGAAAAGTGTTAAATCCCGTGGGATACACTAAAGACCTGAAAGTGGACCTGAAAAGACCTGAATAGACCTGAAGATATACGACTCAAATTATTCAAATTGCAATAACTTTTTATTATTCAACGGAATTTCCTCAAGTTAGAATTTTATTGAATGTTAATATCCATATTTCATTAATAATTATTTTTTTTTAAATAAAAAACATTTTTTTGATGCCAAAAGTTGGACCTGAACGGAGAAATGAAAAGACCTGAACGGACCTGAAAATCTATGGTCGGACTTATTCTAACTTCAATAACTTTTTTAATATTCGGTGGATATCTTTCAACTTTAGATTTTGTGAAACTAAAAGTTCAATATAATGATAATATTAAAAAAAAATATGAAAAATATCGTTGGGGTGTCAAAACTCGGACCTGAACGGAGAATTAAAAAAATCTGAATGAGCCTAAAATTACGCTAATATTTTTTTAAAACGATAAAAAAAAATAACATAGACGAAAAATATGGTTGTCAACTTTTCATGTTCTATGTCATTTGGTCTCATTAGGATCACACCACATCTTCTTTCTAATTTTTATTGACGGGAGATACTAATAGGATACTCAAAACTGATACAAGTAAAAAAGACGGGAGATACCAAAGAATAATCAAAACTTGCATGTCAAAACTTATAAGTCAAAGAGACAGGATATACCATAGAAATGAATAATTCGGAAAAAGGTTTGGTGGCTTTAAACTAGGATAACCCCGTCACAATCTTTGTGTGCCTGTCCCAAGTACTTCAGTGGTTGTACTATGTAGCTCATTGTTGAAGGTCTTATGGTGACCTATAAGTTGTTAACTTCTATGTCATTTGGTCGCTTGTGAGAGTAGTCTCTGCAAAGCGTCTCGGTATGGTGTTAGTCTGGTGTGTTCAGCTAGTAAAGGTAATGGCAATGCAAGAGACATTCTGATATAACATGTATAATAACGTTGGAAACTATACTTGTAAGCACTTTGTTGAATATTTTTATTCTGACTAAAAACGATTCAAAATTGACTATTTATAAAAAGTTAGAGCGTTGATCTGAATTCACTAATTATTTGATATATATGCTTATATATTTTATTTGTAAAGTTTATAGTTAAATTTGTGACCGAGTTTAGTTCGTGTAACCTGGTAACAAGATATAGTGATAATCCAATTAAAAGATTAAAATGAAATGTTTATTTAGACTAATGATCCATTTATCACCTAATAGCAAGTTGAATTAGTTTGAATAATTTCAACGGGTAATCTTTTTTTTTTCTTAAGGTCCAGGTTTCATCATCAACAAGGTATTTGGTATTCAAATATGTTCCTGTATAAATATAAAGTCATTCGTTCTCTTCAATATAATTTTATTTAAAATAAAAACAAATAGAAAAATAATGTTGTGTCAGTTTAAATACATCTGCCCGTATGATCCATTCAGGTCTTGTCCTTTCAGGTCTTTTATTTCCCGGACAAGGTCCGATTTTGTAACTCAACGATTATTTTTTCGATAAAATTCTTTATCATTTCAATGATATATTGTACCTTTCCTATAACAAAATTCATATTTCAAGGAGATTGATTGAAAACAGTTAAAGAACTTGAATAAATCTGACCGCAGATTTTCAAGTCAATTCAGGTTATTTAATTTTCCGTTCAGGTCCGAGTTTTGACACCCCAACGATATTTTTCATATTTTTTTTTAATATTATCAATATTTTGAACTTTTAGTTTCACAAAATCTAAAGTTGAAAGATATCCATCGAATATTAAAAAAGTTATTGAAGTTAGAATAAGTCTGACCATAGATTTTCAGGTCCGTTCAGGTCTTTTCATTTCTCTGTCCATGTCCAACTTTTGGCATAAAAAAAATGTTTTTATTTTAAAAAAATAATTTTTAATGAAATATGGATATTAACCATGTTAACATTTAATAAAATTCTAACTTGAGGAAATTCATAGGTATTGATTTTATTGATGAGTGGGACAGGAACATAGATATACAACAGGATTGCATCTTTTGCATCAAGATGGTCGAGTTGGCATTACTAAATTCATCAGGATTTATCTATTTTTCACAAGTGGGGTGAGTTGACAGACCTTATTTCAGAGGGATTTTTACCCCTGGAGCAAGTTATTCAACCTATTTTCAATCGGATTTTACCCTTTTTCATAAGTGGGGCGAGTTGGTAAACAAAAGAGGGGCGATTTTTCAGAAAGTGGGGCGAGTTGGTGAAAAAGTGGGGCGATTAGGTGTGGGGCGATTTGCCAGTGGGGCGATTTGTCATGGATTCATTATGACGTCTTGAAAGGCTATTATACTTTTTTTCTTTGACCTCTAATAAGATAAGCATAAGGAGAATATCAAAGATCGGATATAAATAAACTTACTGTAATTTTTAAATATATATGCTATTTTTCACTTGTACACGTGCTAGATTTTGACCTTCGTGGAACCCTACATGTGCAGTGTTTAAAAAGCTTTTAAAAGCGAACGCTCACGTTTATTTTTTAAAATAGATTAATGTCTGAAAAAAGTGAATTGTGATTTGTATCCTTGGATATTAAAAACATTCACGTAGACTAGTAATTTACCAGGGACTTGATTATTTTGTTTTTCCCACCACTCGTCGTCCAAATTGTCTGCCATCTTTGTCCAATACTTTCGAATTTGAAATATGAAGAGGTATAACAATTTCAATCTTTATTTATCTAAGTCAAATGTTCATTAGAAGAAATATCAGCAATTGCATTTTGTTTTAGGATTGTTTTTTTTTGCCATTCAAATGTTGTTTTTTTTTACGAAAATAACCTGTCAATATGCAACATGTTCTAACAAGAATGTTTCTTCACAAAAATCATAAAAAGGAGGCCAAATACTGTAAATCTTCAAGAATAAAAAAACCATAATGTACTTAAATAAATATCAATCTAATAATGTAGCGCTGAAACAAAACAATAACATGAAATATGCTTAGAGACTAATATCTTGTTATTTACTATCTTATTTTTGAATTTAACAATCATTTCAATAAAACATACAGAAACACGTGAGTTGTGGTGCGCTTTTGTTAAAAACAAAACTAGTATTTGGTTTCTAGTGATAGTTTTTGTGATCCTGACAGTGAACAATTTAGATATCCACAATAACAATTCGGAGGGACAAGAACTTGTAATAACAACATATATAATGATGACATTTACATTTACATAAAAATAAAACAAAACATTAAACACACCAAATGACCTCAAGTGCCCCCTGTCCTCAGTTCCATAGACTGTTTAATAAAGGAGTCTAAAGATTTCACTTGCTGACTAGTGGTTGGATAATAGGATATATTTCATTTTATTATCAGAAAAATCTTTGAATTGAGTTTTTAAATCATTAAAAAAGACATGTCTTAAATCATCATATATTTTACATAATAAAAAGAATTGTGATTCATCATCCAGAACTTTGCACTTATTACAAAGTTTTTGAGGGCGTGGAATATTTTTATATCTTCCAGTTTCAATAGACGTATTTACACTTGTATGCAAATTTGTCCGCCATTACGTAAAATCACACAGGTTCCCGTAAACTTTGACATCATAATTCAAAACATTTGACGTCATAATTAAAAAATGATTGTTGTCTGACGTCAAAAGGTGATTCGGAGTAGATCTAAGGTCATTCGGAGGCAAAATATAGCTAAATACCAAAAGTGTAAATACGTTTATAGCGAGGGAATGATCACTAATTCTAAATTTGCATATAAGTTTTCTTGTATCAAGATTAGGGTATGACAAATAAAATTCTTGTTTATATTCAGTTTATATATATATATATGCTTTAACAAAAGAAGTTTGCTATTTTGGTCAACAGATGATATCTTATTGTCATATATTTCTTTATTTTTGCTGAAATTCATTTTTATTGTATTTTTTACTGAAATTCTTACAGTCTCTGTTTATGTTTTTAGTTTCATCTTTGGGTTTACTAATATTATTGTCGGACTTAATCATGTTAATCATGGCCCGCTGTTATTTTAAGAATGCTTGCTTTTTCCTCTGGTATTTTCACTTCGTATAAGCCTCCTTTCCTTAGGAATACCACCATGAGTTATGGTTTGAAGGAGGACATTTAGCACACTGTATCGACACAGATTTAATGTGAGCATTTGCCTACCCAGTTACCAAGAAAGTTTACCGTCCCCAAAACATGAATAGAATAAGAATAAGAATAAGAATATTTTATTTTCCAATTAAAGGGCCCTATAAATATATGATAAAGAGTTTTTATAACATTACATACAAATACATAAGATTCGACAGCAATTGAGAAACATAAAAGAAAACAACAGTTTTACAATACAATGCTATAAATCATTCAAAAGCACCTGCTCACCTGATCCGCTCATCCTCAAAATATATAAAGTGATAAATATATTAAAAAAATGTCAACCCAGTTGCCAAATGCCATGGCAAAGATTGGGAAACTGGTAGGGACATACTTGGATTTCAAACCGATACCGCTAATTGCCCAGCCATATTCCTGGTATTCAGTGATAGAGGAAGGCCGAATATCCTACGATAAATTATCTATCTGGTTGGTTCTGGGTACGATTCCAGTTGGCCCCAGATCTTTTCTGCCCATTCCCAATTGCGTTGTGTCATTTAGGAAAATGATAAAGTTATTTGATGAAGAAAAAAAAATTTTATGTTTCTTTGTGTATTTGGCTAGGATTACGGTATTTGAAGTCCATTTAATCAAGAAGTTCACTGCCCAGGGAATTTTCCAAACTTTATTTTAAAAGATCCCTCATTATGCTCATTGAGAGCTAGGGTGTCAAAGCAAAATTTAAAGATAGCATTGCAAGATGTCATGATTAAAATTTGCAGGTTGCAATTGGGGCAACATTATGATTTTTATACGACCGCAAAATCATTTTGTGGTAGTATAATGCTATCACTTCGTAGTCTGAGTCGTCGTCCGAAGACATTTGGTTTCCGGACATTAACTTTAGTTAATGTCAGTCATGGGTACTACTTGTACAAGTAATCTTTATTTACTTGAAGAAGTAAAAAAATATACTTATATGAGTTAATTATAATGTTTGAATAATCTCCCCTTAATTTTCTCAAAAATTCACTTGTATACAATGTAAGTCCCGGTAAATTTTTTTTACAATCCCACAAAAATTCTCAAGTTTTGAGATGTAAAAACATGCCTTTAATAATTTTTCCCAGGTTAGCTCATAATTTTTTATTAGAGTTCAATGTTTCATCTCATTAATTCAACAAAGAAACTAATTGTGCAAAGATCTTAAAAGAATTTGCGCAAGGCCTTCAAAAATTGCTCCTTGGGGGCTTGTAAATGAGCAGTGTTCTGAAGATAACAGACAAATGAGATTTTCACTGTCCATGAAATTACACGTAAATCATGTAAATGATTAGTTAAGACATCTGCAAAGGACAGACAATTTAAAATTCTATTAAAGCAAAGAAGTCCTAAGAATTCAAGAAAAGATGATAGGATGACTTTTTCACTTATATAAGTAAAAAAATCTGAATGTCTAAGGGACATAACTAAGCCAATTTACATGTACAAGTAAATAAAATACACTTGTATAAGTAGCCTACAAATTTACTTATATAAGTACATATTAATATTACTTCTTCAAGTAAATAAAAATTACTTGTACAAGTAGAACCCCTGACTGTATGTGTATGAATCTCTATGAAATTTAACCAAAAGGTTCAATACCACAAAAGGAAGGTTGGGATTGTTTTTGTGGGTAATAGGTCCCAACCTTTTAGGAATTAGGGATCCAAAAGGGGCCCAAAACAAGCATTTTTCTAGTTTCAGGACAATAACTTGTGTATAAGTATTGTGATTGCTCTGAAATTGTACCACAAGGTTCAATACCACAAGTAGAAGGTTGGGATTCATTTTGGGGGTAATTGCCCAAACCGTTCATGAATTAGGGGCCAAAAAGTGTCTAAAACAAGCATTTTTTTAATATTCAGGCAATAACTTGTGTTTAAGTGTATTTATTTTTCTTAAATTGTACCACATTTTACAAATAGAAAATTTCTTCAAATGTTATTTTTTCTTCCCTCAAGATTTAAGAAATTAAATAGATTTTTTCAAATATTAATTTGGAAAAGGGGGGGGGGGGGGGGGGTTAACATTTTTTTTAGGGGGGTCAATTTTTTTTCCTCAAGATTTAAGCATGTTAAGAAATTGTCAATTATTTTCCAAAGAAAAATTGGGGGTCACAATTTATTTTGCTAATTCTTTGTATATAGTCTGAAAACAGATTTACTAAGTATTGTGCAACAGCACAGTGTATTGCACAAAAGCAAGAAATCTTCAATTGAATATAAATTCAAATCATATAACCCATTTCAAGTTCTTTGACTACATTTATTCTGTGTCAGAAACCTATAATGTATCAAATATTTAATCCAATCCAAATTCAGACCTGTATCAAGCTTGAATATTGTGTCCATTTTTGCCCCAACTGTTCAGGGTTAGACCTCTGAGGTCGTATCCAGCTGCGTTAGGCAAAGCAGTTTATTCATTTTAGAAATTCTTTTGAGTCAAAGTTTTTAATTCTTGGAAACATTATCGATAATAAAGGTAGATTTAAGAGATCAACACAGGAACTATCAAAGAAAGCACTTAAAGCGTTTTTCTCACTAAAAAAAATAAGTTCCAAATAACTACTTCCAAAAGAAATATTAACAGTGATCCATGTGGTACAAATGTAGTGTTAAAATTTCAAAATTTCTTGCAAATTGTATATAATATATATCTGATAACAGAAAATTATGATAAATCAGAACATGCACTTTATAACCTTTACGGTTGCCTATAATTGCTTGCATCCACTTTATTTGAACTTTGGTGGATACAATCTAGTTGTCTCATTGGCAATAATACCTCATCTCCTTATTTTTATATTCAGGAACTCATCAGGATCGATGAACCTGTCTCATATTACATTATTCCTAGTCCAAATCAGTTTGAGGAGATTACCTAAACATGCAAATGGGTAATAATAGCCTTTCGGGATATAATAACCTAAATGGGAAATATATTTATTCTGCAAATTTTTTCTTTTTAATTGAGGGAATTATAATACACATGGCAAATGATTACATAATCAGCAACAACTTATTGTTGTTTCATGAATTTTTATAACATCATTTTAATAAAAATAATCCTTGAACAAGGGCACCTTACTTTAATTATCAATTAGGTTAGATTTTGGAAAAATCCAACATGGATGATCTTCTTCAAAAATTTACATTAAAAAAACTTTTCCTTTAAAAAAAAAAATTTTTTAGTGAAATTTTTCTTTTGGTTTGTGAATTTTATCTGTCTTATTTCTAAAGACCCCAATTAGCATGATTAGTCTAATTGCCTTGTAATGTTCTGAAATTTACTTAAATTTCAGGTTTCTTTTTTAGATTATTACCATCGATCAGGTGAACTACATAATTATTATATGAATTATAAAAAAAATTTTTGCAACTGAAATATCTTTTCTTTCACTTTATCAAATTACATCTTTTAAGAAAATTTGAAACAAAATTTATTGATTTGATACAAATGTTTTGAAGAAACATTGCAAACAAGTAAAGAGGATCTGGTTGACTGGTATAGCTAATTACCAACGAGAAGGTCCGAACTTTT